AAAAATGCAGAAAGTTTCCTGTGAGGGGTAGGTTTAGGGGTAGGGTTGGTGTAGGGCAATAGAATATACGGTTTGTACAGTATAAAAACCATTACGCCTATGGAGAGTCCCCATAAACCATAAAAACAAACCTGAGTGTGTATGTGTGTGTGTGTGTTAGTGCGGCGCTGCATGTCTGCAGTCCTGCAGCACTGAGAAGGTGACAGACAGTGACACGAGCTGCAGATCTTCCTGTTCACCATTGTCTTATTTGCATATTAACATCCAAAGATGTAAAGAATGAGCTATTGGTTTCTAGCTGCTTATGTTTTGTGATATTGCTAGGGTGTTTGAATTTATTTTGCTTGTGTTGTCCGTCCTTTTCTGGCCTCATTTCTCTCTCTCACTCTTGCTCTCTCTCTCAGCCGGTCTCCCCTCTTTGTAATTAAGTGCTTGTGCTGAAGAAAGCAGTCGCAATGCAGCTCTGTATTTCACAGCAGTGTGGGTTAGTGTGTTGAATCGTGTGTGTAGAAAATCACATATTCAGTTCAATTCAGTTTGCTTTTCATAAACGCACATATATCATTTCAAAGCAGCTTTACAAATAATAGCATTACTAATTCCCACATGTGTTTTATGAAAAGTATTATACTTGTAATTTTATGACAGCAAACAGAGCAAATATGAAAAAAAAAACAGCAGGAGATTGTCAACATACACTGATCACATGACAACAAACATGCTGGAAATATTGATGGATAAGACTGGTGTTTATAGATGTCCTGCACCTGCAGTGGAGGGTTGTTGATTATTTTTATTTTTTTTGTTTAGTTAAAAGGGATATTGTACATTAATAAAACATTTCTGTAAATGTACCAGAAATAGCCAAAGGCTATTTTTCATCAGTGATGTTGCATCCCGTACTAAACAGTGATTCAGTGTGTTTAGTTAAACCCGCAGAACTGTACTGGGGTTAAAATCAATGCGGGCTATAAATCCTCGTTCCCTTCCTGTTTGATTAAGGATCTGGGAGTCTGAGATGCTGTGCTTTAGGAAGCTCCATCCTGCAATATAGGCGGGAGATTTATGGTGGTCTCTGGGACGCTGGAGGTGTCCTTTGTGGAGGATGACTGGAGGATTCTGTTAAGTGAGAGCAGAGCGATGTAGCTGAAAGTCTATTTTTCCTCTTGAGCGGTCATTGAAATCACATGTATGGGATGTACATGATGCTGTTTACTGTGAAGGGAATTGTGGGTAAAGAAAAACCATCGTAATCTGACAAGAGGAGCTGTAGAGCAAAGGTCTTGATATAGAAGCAGAGCAGAGGGCAGTAGATACCCAGAAAATAGGTAAAGGCCATCTCGGAATTCAAGCTAGTCCAAACTCCCTGATGAAAATTTCAGCTGATTTAGCTGGTTTAATATTATGTCCTGTACTGACCAGCTGAAAAGTTGCCAAAAACTCTTTAAAAACAACCAAGACCAGCAAACCAGTTTAGGACAAATTAAGATTTTTGGCCTGGTCTAAAATTTGTTTTAGGAGGATGATTAGCCTAGTATATCCTTTAACTTTTTTGTCTAAGCTATTTGATTTCGGAGGACATTTATTGTATCTTAACTTTTTTAACTTTATAATTACTGTTCTTTAAAAAGATATCAACACAGCCTATTTATTTAATTTTTCATAAAGTATACTACCATTCAAAAGTTTGGGCTCAGTAAGATTTTTTTTTTTTAAATAAAGTAATATTTTATTCAGTAAGGATGCATTAAATTAAAAGTGACAGTAAAATATATATAATTTTACAAAATATTTCTGTATATTATTAAAGTGCCCCTATTATAGATTTTTGAAAATTACCTTTCAGGCAGTGTGTAACACAGCTCTAAGTGAATGAAAACATCCTGCCATGTTTTAAATCTGAAAGTGCACCGTGTATAAAGTTATTGTCTCTTAAAAGAAAGCGTCAACTCTGAATCATTGAAACAAGTCGTTTTTTTAAAACGAATCCCAAGCTGTTTCATGTTGACGTCATCATGAAACATTAGCATATTGCCTGCCGACTTGTTGGTCTTTTCACGTTGGTCTGAATAAAAATGCAAATTCATTCTTTGCCACTAGGTGCCACTTTTGGAGTGGTAAAATAGCGGCTTCCCTGGTAACGCTGTACACAAACCAGCACTGCGCTCACAAACGCTGCTTTATCGGGCATTGCAGGCATGATGAAAATGAGGCCAATCGGACCAATCACCGCAGATTAGCATCACGCAAAGGAGGGTTTTGGAAAAATGAATCGTTAAACGAATCGTTTGGGAGTCGTTGAGCAAGTAAGGTAAAAATAAATGCATGTTATAAGACAATGAAAGTGTTTTTTGACCTTGCATGCATGTCAACCTGTTGTTGGGGACTCCCAAAACCAAATATAAACCTTTCATAACCCATAATAGGGGCACTTTAAATTAATGCTGTTCTTTTGAACTTTCTATTCATCAAAAATCCAGAAAAAAGTCATGGTTTTCACAAAAATATAAGCAAAAAATATTAAAGGGGTCATATGATGCGATTTCAAGGTTTCCTTTCTCTTTGGAGTGTTACAAGCTGTTCGTGAATAGATAAGATCCCTAAAGTTGCAAAGACTAAAGTGTCAAACCCAAAGAGATATTCTTTATAAAAGTTAAGACTGGTCCACGCCCCCCTAAAACGCCTCATTTAAACACGCCCCCACATGTCTACGTCACGATGTGGGAAGATTTGCATAACGCCGCCCAAATGTTCACGCAAAGAAAGAAGGTGTAACTTTGATTCTCGCTGTAGTATTGTTTCCGCCGCCACCATGACGTGGAGACGCTGTGTGTTTCATTGTGAAAGCGAAACTACTTTGTTTGGCCTTCCAAAAGAGGACACAACTAGAAATCAGTGGTTAAGTAGTATTTACAACACTGTTCCAGAACAGTTCAAACCAAATATTCAGAAGTGTGCAACGCATTTTACGGAGGACGAGGACTGTTTCCTGGGAGAGTAGCCGCCGGTGTTCCGGTGAATTCAGTTCCCGTTTCCCCTTCGGCGCGCATGCTGACCAGTCTATGCTGACAAATAATGTTGACTCACAGCCAAGGATTTGCCACTGATGATTCAAACGCGAGTTTTGAGCAGTGTAGAGTAGCGCTTGTTGTTTGTCATTTCTCCGATCACAAATGCAGACATAGTTTTATGTTTGCACGGCGCGATGCAACGTAACACGTAAAAACACAGTATAAGTCATTGTAATCCGTAATTATGTCCCCACTGGATGCAACAAATGCCTCGTTGATAATGGATTTTATTGGTTTTGTCTCATCGCGCCGGGACACGGGATCACAGTATGGTGAGGGGCGTAACATTTCCGTCACGCGCTTGAGGTATTCGACCAATCACAACGCACTGGATAGCTGGCCAATCACAGCACACCTCGCTTTTTTATAATAATCAGAAATGTTTTTTGAGCAGGGATCATGTGACACTGAAGACTGGAGTAATTATGCTGAAAATTCAAGCTTTTCCATCACAGGAATAAATTACATTTGTAATATTACTGTTTTCACTGTGTTTTTTAACAAATAAATGCAGGCTTGGTGAGCAGAAAACAGAATTCTGGACAATGTGAAGAGGTTTTTGTCATCTATTCTGATTTTGTGTGTGTGTGTGTGTGTGTGTGTGTGTGTGTGTGTGTGTGTGTGTGTGTGTGTGTGTGTATAT